TTACTTCCCTAGGCCTCCACATTTCTCAAGAGTAAAATGACAGACTAAATCCTATGACCTTCTATCAATTTTGGGTGATGCATGAGCATGTTTCAAACTAATCACTATGAATAAACTGAAAAGTCAGTGGATGATGTTCAAAAGGGGCAACTGAAGAAGAATTCAACTTAAAAGGAGAAAAACTGTACTAAGATAATAATAGCTAGAATTAATATAGGGCTTACAATTCACAAAATACATGTCATCTCATTCAATCCTCACAACAATTCTGTCTGGTAGATTATCCTCATTTTATACATTAATTAACTGAGGCTCATAGAAATGAAGTGACTTTCCAGGATCACCCAGATATTAAGTGTCAGAGGGAAGATTTGAACCCTGGTTTTCTTAATTCCAATGCCAACATTCTATCCATTGTTCCACTTAACAAGGGATGGAATATGACTTGCTTTGTAAACATTAAGATTCAGGGATCAGGAAAGATCCATAAGTTAGCAATGTAATGCCATAGTCAAAAAAGAAAACATAATACTAGGCTGTAAAGGATGTGAGAATTATGAGTGCCATTTCTCCTTAATTCGGTATTAGGATGTTTTAAGAGAATCATTAACACGATTATGAAAAACCTACAAACTATCTAAATGAAAGCAACAAAAACAATTCAAGGCTTGGGAAGCAGCTTTCAAAGAAAAGTCAAAAGGTTCATTTGATATAGAAAGAAACTCGGGATGAGCCAACAGTCTACAACTCTATCAAAGTATATCATGTAAAAATGACAGTGCTTTCTGTGTTCCCACTGATGTGATTACAAAAAACAACTAACAGGTACTGGAGGGATTTATTTTTAATTAGAAAGGAACTCTTTAAATTAAGAGTCCTGTGAGACACTAATATATAAAAAGAATTTGTGGGTTTGCCTTCTCTAAAGATTAATATCCTTATCCAAGAGTTTCAAGAACTATATTTCATATAATATATAACTGCTAATCCCAACCTGGATAAAAACTGTAAATAGGATAATTTCCTCTCAGTCATGTACCGTGTAGTCAAACAATGTAGAAATGACTTTCCCTCTGTTCATTATTTCCAATTTATTCTGTATATAGCTTGTTTGTACATTGTTGCTTGTATGGTGTATCCCCTACATGGCCTGCCTTTTTACTTTTGTTTCTGACATGCCATAGGCACTTAATAAATGTTTACTGACTATGGACTGAAAGCTCAGACTGCCTAAGTACAGGCACTGCTAGATTCCTTTCAAAACAAAAACTTGCAGTTCTCCTGATTCAAAAGTGAAATATTTTTTCCTAAACAAATTATGAAAGTTCTCAAGTCTGTGCCTCTAAATAAAAACCAACAAAATTCAAATTTAATAATTGTAACATAAACTGACTTCAAATACAATTTTAAACACTTCAATTTAACAAACATTATTTATTAAGGATCTCAGGGCAAGGCACAGTGGATAAAAAGACAAAAAGAAACAAACAAAATAGTCGCTGTCCTCAAGGAGCTTTTATTTTGCCTTGGAGAATAAAATCAGGTACACAAATATAAAGTAATTTTAAGAGTGTCAGAGTCTAATAACTGAGGGTTATCAGAAATGGCATTTAGGAGGTGTCACTTCATCATCAGATTTCTACCCTAATTGACAGAGAATTCCTACAGGTTTTCTCCTAGAGCAGAGCTGAGCAAAGAGAAGGGGAAAAGGGGTGAGGGGGAAGGCTCAAAGTGAGGGAAAGAAAAGGAGAAAGCGAGAGGAGGAGCAAGAGAGCTTGAACTCTGATGTCAGATAATCGTTTTGATATAACTTGCTCAGTGTGTGTAACTACCTTTACCAACTGGGCCAGGTATATTACCTTGATAAAAAGGATACTATTACTGGTTCTACCATCAAAACAATGAAAAGGTCTAAGTCTGGTATCCAAATTTAGTTCTGGGAAATCTAACTTTGGCCTCTGAATTCAAATATAAATACCAACACTAATTCAATCTGACCTGAATAAATTATGGGGATAACCCTTCTTAAATGTTTATTAGATGTAATTGCTGTTCTCTGCTCTTCTCTCCCTTTCTTTCCTTAAAGATGCCATTTAGAGAGAAAATATCTTTGGGGTAAAAGAGACCTTTGTCACAAAGCACATTTACAAGAATTGTGTTTTGAGGCACACTGTGTATTTATTTGGGCACAATTTTTTCTTGTTATCTCAGAGTTCCATGTACATTAAAAGGCACCTTGGGAGGCCTCTTGAGTAGTTAAAAAAATGTTTATTAGAGTTTCTATGAATAAGAAAAAAGAAAATAACCAAGGCTATATAAATGCTTAATGATAATGTGCTTACCGTGGAGATTAGTTTACACTGCAGCATGACAGTAGGTCTGCTCAGCTACAAGGAACATTTCCTGTCAATATGGATGAAGTACCTCATGTGTCCATGAATTGACTTAACAGTACCATACCATAGACTAACTGGCAAACAGGAACTAATCAGAATTGCTTTTTCAAAAGCCTAAGTCAAGGAAAGTCCAACAGGATGTTACAAACAGAAAAGAAACCAAAAGAAAAGGCAAAGTACAGAAAAATCAAATTCATCTAGACTTTCAGAAGAGCAACAAGGAATCTTGCACTGAAAGAATCAAAGAAGCTCCACAAGCATAAAAACAGTAAGCTTCATTTAAACTGGAATGAAATTCAAATTCCATTCAGCTAACCAGATTCTGCCATTACTTCTGAAAAAGACTTGCTGCCTCAGAATAACTCTTTTAAACAGCATATGAACATGTAACACTCTCACAAATGTACTGGTGTTTTGTTTTTAAAAAATACTTTGGCAACCTGTACGTAAAAAAAACTAGTCCATACTTCAATCGATATCTACAAAGGTATTAAAGATAAATCAATTTATTTTCTACTTCCTGACAGTATAACAGTTTATCTGATATTGTAGAATGTCAAGATCATCTAGACATAAGGTTTTATAAAGAGCTAACATCTTAAAAAAGAAAAATTTACATTCCAAAGTAAGGCTATATTTTACATTCAGGAAAATAAAGCACTGCCTGCCAAAGATGCCACATGAACACTGATGTGCCATGACAAATTTCATAACCACATAAATGATATTGCTTCATACCTGTCACAATTAGTCATGTGACTGCAACACGTGGCTGCAGCCCATAGGCTCCTCCACTTACTTAGAGCTCCAAATTATGGATCTATTTTCTTTTATAAAAGCTTTAGGACCCCTTGTTAAAGTACTTTGGTTGCTAAAATGAGGCTGATACACAGCCTAAGGTACATGATACACTCAAATAGCAAGACATAAATAAGACTTCTAAATTAAGGTCCATCTACGTCCAACTAAAATTCAGATAGTTAACATTTTAATGAGATCTAAAACCAAAAGAAAAAAGTCAGTGGCAATTACTTAAAATACTTGATGACTTCCATGGCAATCATCTAATGAAACAAAGGAGTTAACATAGACCTACAGATTTCAAATGAAGCTATTAAAAATCTATCAATATCCTTCACATCTCAGTCCTTTAAAAATTGTTTTTTAATAGTCATTAAGTAAAATCTTAGGGAAATGTTAATTATGAAATCATATAGAAAATATGATATAAATGATAGAAAATAGAAAAAGCTGTACTGCTACATTATCCCAAAGATAATTTCAAGGTGGTGTTTCTTTTTTAAATCTTGTACCAAAACAAATTTTACATTTTATTAAGTTTCCAAACAATACTGAAATTAAATGCAGCCTTTTTCCAAGCTCAAAAAAACATTTATATGATATGTATACACTTACATTTGTTTTTGCCAGCTCCTGAGAAACCATGCTAGTTTGTTCTCCTTTAGTGTATTAATGTGCAGGATACATAAAAAATCCACTAAATCCCCTATCTAGACAACTTTGGTACATAATATAGATTTACCTTAATCAAGTGATCCTACGAGTCCCTCTATACTTGACCTTAAACTGCAATCATTCCACTGTCTATTAGAAAAACTTCTTAGGCCTTCAAAATTGTAGGAATATCAGGTGCCAAAAAATTACTCACAATTGCCCTTAAGATTCAAATGACATAGGAACCACACTTACGGAGAAAACGTTTTCTTCCAAAATTTAGTGGCTAAACCTCAATGTCTCAAGTGCCGTTAACAGTCTCATTTGCACCAACACAGGGAAAGATTCCTTCTCTAGATTCAATTTTAAACCAGCACTGAAAGAGTCAGGTCCTTCAAGTATTCAGACAGGCAGAGTGGAATGGGTCTTCCCTCAGAACCAACTGCCCCAGCAGCAGGAGAGCCCCCCACAGGTCAGGGAACAGGGTGACTTTAAAGGAACTCCTGGACACCCACCCCCAGGTAACAAGGGAGGGGATCCAAATCCGGGTCCACTGAGGTTTGACTCAGGCCTCTGGAGGATGACTTCTGGGGCCCAATTTGCCATGGGAAGCTCTAAACCCCATTTTCCAGATAAAGGTACCTGGTTAACAAGGTCTTCTCACCCCCGGGAGGAGGGACCTGGCAGTACCCTCAGACTCGTATCGTCTCCTCAACCCCCAATGACTCAGGTGCTCCTCCCTCACCCCAACTTCCAGCCCCATCACCCGTATTTGACTCTGCCCACCCTTTGCCCGGCGCCCAAGGCCCAGGGCCCAGGGCCGCGCCTTCCTCTCAGGCCCTCGGCCCAGCCCGCCAACCTCCGAGCCCCAAGCAGAAGAGGCAGAGCTTAGGCCTCACCTCTCTTCGGCCTGCTCCGAGCACGGAAAGCCGGGGAGGGGAGCCGGGAGGCTGCAAAAGCCGCGCCCGACCCCTGAAAGGGAAGCGAGAAGGGTGGAGTGGCCTAGGCCGCGCCTTCCAGCCCCGAGGCTGCCCAGTTCCCGCTCCACGCCGCCTCGGCCAGGGGTCCGGGGAGGGAGAGAGCCCAGTCGCCTGTAGGCCTCAGGCCCAGGGCCCGCAGTGAAGAGGCGAGCCGGAGCTAGCCACCCACCTGGGTTGCCAGTCATTCCAGCTTCGTGGATACTTGGTGCCGCCGCCGCCGCTGCTCAGCCGAGACCCCGGGGCTCTGCGGCTCATTACCTTCCCCGACACGACATGGCCAAGCGCCGCCGTCCGAATCTAGAGGCTCTCGAAGCAGCCGCCCACCCAGCAGGCGACCCAGCGCCCCGGCCTCGGCACGGAGAGGACGACGGGAAGCAGCAGGAGCAGCAGCAGCAACAGCAAGAAGAGGAGGTGGAGGAGGAGGCGGCGGCTGAGGGCGAGCGAGGGTGGGAGCACGGCGGCCGTTCCGGGTTCCGCCGGAGCCCGCAGCGCAGGAGGCAGGCACAGAGTGAGGAGGCGGAGGCGGAGGCGGTGTCTTCCTGAACCGTGAGCGCCGAGGACTGGGAGAAGAAGAGAAAGGAGGCGGAGGCGGCTCCCACAGCGCGACCCACGGCGACAGCTTCCCCGCCTCCCGCGCCGCTCCGGCTCCGCCCGCCGCCCCGCCGCACGGCATGCTGGGAGGGCGGCGCTGGCGCTGGGGCTTTGGGGAGGGGAGGAGGGGAGTGGAGCGGGGCGAAGGGAGGAGCCCAAGGTGCGCGGCCTCCCTGGTGAATGGGGGGCCGTTGGGGTGCTGGGGTCGCAGCTGCTGATCTCGGCGGTTCCTGCGCCCCCCATCTCCTCCCCACCTCGGGTTGTCGCTGCGCCTGCCCCAGCTCTGGGCAATCCCTGCCCCCGCCCCCGCCATGCCCGCCCGCAGGGAATCATGGGAGAGGGGATTCCCTTCCTTTCCCCCCCACCTCCTCCTCACGCTCTCCCCCCCTCCCCCAACACACACACCGCACCCGCACACCTGAGCTTATCATAGGAACCCAGCACCTAGAGGGAATAGCCAGTCACACGTGCAGTCACTCTAAAACAGACCCCAAACATTGAGAGGGTGAAGGGTTACCTCATTTACTGCCTCTGCTCTGTACCACTGAGATGCTCGCTTACCTTTGATCCATTCATCTGCCCCAACTGGAAGAGAGAGAAGCAGGGTCCTACTGTTTAAAAAAGACTGAAGAGCTACCTTTCCTTACAACTCACCTAGTACCCTTCATCTACCCCACCCAACTCCTGTGACTCCTCGTTCATTCTCCCCCATTAATGAAGGGGCTCAGCCATCCCCTCAGTTCTTTTCTAGTTTGTCAGACCTGTCTCTAGTATTTTTGTGAACTGTATACCCAACATCTTGTGTTCTTCCCATTTCCACCAGAGTATCTTAGATTTGAATTTCAGCTCTTCCACTTACCTCTGTGACCTTGAGCAAGATACTTAACTTTTCTGGGCTTCGATTTTCTCATTAATAAAATAAGGAGGTTGATCAAAATGATCTCTTAAGTTCCTGCCCGCTTTAAATCTTATGACCGTAAACAGGGTTTCATTCCCTTTGTGAAGCACCCATCTTCCTCTGACAACGTTGGTAGTGTTGCTAGATCCTTTACATATAAGATGCAACTAGTCTTTTAGTCTTACATCCCAGAAGATCCCTTTTATTATTTGCATCTGTGGAACACTCAGATTTTGTTTGCTTTTGTGAACAAATGCCTTGTTTCATGATGTATTTATTAATTTTGACTGTACAAACTCATATATGTGACCATCAGAATATCACCACAGTGACTAGATTCAGCTGGCTCTGGAGATTTGGAATCCCAAGCCAAAATCTCAGAATCACTTTATTCTTTTTAGTTATAAAAGAGAACAAAGAATTGGCAGCAGTAATGTCTAGCTGCCCTAATGTAGCATATTCTGCATTTCCATTTGCACTTTCTGTGTGTAGACCAGAATATGATGAGTAATTAGCCCTCAAATAAGCCCCAGTCAAAGACTGAGAACTGGAAGGGGCCAGCTAGTTGAACCCCATCAATGTCTAAGCATTCCAGTCATGGAGCCATATAGCTAGATCTAGAATAGGCCTCGAAGTCATCTGATTTTACACATGAGTAAACTGAGGTCCAGGAAGTTTATAAGATTTGCCTAAGGTCACACATGTAAGCAAGCATCAAAGGTAAGTTTTGAACCCAGCTCCCTCCAACTCTATAACTAGTACTCTTTTCACCGTAAAGGTTAAGTGATTTGTCCAAGGTCATACATTAAATGGCAGTGTTCAGCAGGAAACTTCATTTAGGAATTTTGGAGAGTTTTGCCTAGCTATGCAAAGTTGTGGTATTTTATGAAGCCTCTTTGCTGGTCTCTTCAAACACTGTAAATATTCGTAGTTGAATTTGCAGAACTTTTGAGTAGGATACCTCCCTTCAGTCAGTAGATCTTTTAGAAAAGGGACAAATAATCTTGAATTTATCAGCATTCTTCTCAGACCTATATCAATGTACATCAGTGTGAAAAGGTACACATCAGTGTGAGGAAGCTTGCTTTATTCTACCTTGCTTTTGTCTTTGTTTATTGTGGATAGAAATAAATTCTTCACTCCTTTCCTTGTTTGAGAATGAAATTTTAGCCCAGATTTACTTTATTAGCAATCAATAACTGAGAAATATTGTTGTTGTTTTTTAAGGAAATGAGATTTCCTTGTAAAAATCATAAGGCATGTGAGATGATTTTAAAACATACACCTAAAATAAATTTCACATCCTTGAGACATTCTGACAGATATGAAAGCTGCCATTCTTTCTCCAGCTCCCAGCAAGGAGACACATTGGGCAGTTCAGACTCTTTCAATAGAGGTTATTTTTATAGGAAGTTTCAGATCTTGTTAAGGAGGAATTTGGCCCAGAAATTTTTGTGACACATTTGAAATCTCCATTTAGGATGCCACAGCTTGAGTCTTAGCCCAGGTTTCTATGAAATGGGGTACATGGTGTGTTGGCCCAAGGGCCAGAGAAACCACATGCTTTTCTATAGGATAAAAGAAAAGGACAAAAAAGTTAATTTGTAGCTTTTCATTTCTTACAATGAAGGTAGAAGCTGGAGGAGGCAAATAAAAGGAGAAAGAAAGATTTGGTTTGTTTTTTAATTATAATTTATTTTTAACATTCTTAAAAAAAATTTTTTTCAGTTCCAAATTCTCTCCCTCCCGACTCTTCCCTGCCCTCTGAGAAGACAAGTGATATGATATCAATTATACATGTGCAATCATGAAAACATTTCCATATTAACCATATTTCAAAATAAAAAGCAAGAAAAATAAAGTGAGAAAACTCTACTTCAATTTGCTTTCTGCTTCAAGTATGTCTCTTGAAGATGGCATATTAGGGGTAGACACCCAGCTGAATTCTTCCAACATTTTCCTCCAAACACTTTCAAAATTACTCTTCAAATCAAATTTTGGAATATCCAAGCCAACAAAAAGTGTGAGATATTTTTCTGGCCCAAGAGAACATAAGAGGTAGGGAGAAGAGGTCTATAACACCAAGTAGAGGTCTGGTAGAAGTCTGTTCTTTCTGGCTGCTTGAAGTATTTTCTCTTTGACCTGGGAGCTCTGGAATTTGTCTATAGTATTCCTGGGAGTTTTCATTTGAAACCTCTTTCATGAGGTGATTGGTAGCTTCTATCAATTTTTATTTTACCTTTTGAATATATGTTTTTCTTGGAGGCTTTGGATATAGGAGCTTTGACTTTGTTGTCTTCTGTTTGTATATTTTGATCTTCTTTGTCACCAAAGAAAGATTCTGCGGTCTGACTTTTTTTGCACAGTTTGCTCATGATTCCAGCCAATTACT